CGATACCGTATGCTGCCGATGCAGACGAACACTGTAACTCTTAATGTTGTGTTTATGGACGAGGTCCAATTGATTTCAACTGTTTTATCGCGCCTAAGCCTATTTCGATAGATATTCACATAGTAAATGCATACTTGGGGATTACGTCATTAAATTGTCGTTACTAGATAGATTATCCAATTCCACCATCATATTCACACTTTTTTGACGTAATTTAGCGCTCCTGGAATAGAATTTACGATCATTATGAGCTCTGCATTCGCTCATTTGCCACAAACCAATCAAATAAAAGCGCTACAAATCATTTGAATAAAACGCGAATGAAAGAGAATCAAATCGCGAGTTCTCTGTGAGAACAACAGCTAAACAATGTGCACTTTAAACTGAAAAGACATGAAAACATAAAAGACAACGTATAGGGACACGATATTTTTTTTATCAAAATTGAGGTCTATAACAATCGGTAATACCGAATTTTATTTTAAAGAAACCTGACGTTATCACTCAATCGCACTTTGAATTACGTTCAAGACCTTTCCCACGAGTGGTAGAAGGAAGAATAAGAGCACTTGTATTAAGAAGATTCAGTTTGAGTTATTGTGAATTGGAATATCTAGCAATATACAAATATTTACGTAACAATATTATAATTATAATAAATTAAATTTACTACAAGTTGATTATTTTGACGTGGGAATACGTACTAATTTTTCTAGTTCGGTGGGGGAGGACAAATGATCCCCAGAACATCTCCTTCGATTAGCCCCAGGATAGATTAATCGCGAATTATTCAGATGATTTTATATGAATTAGTAAAATATTTCAATGTGTGTAATCCGCCCCTCAAAGAGAGAAAAATATTCAACACAAGGAATCTTGTGCACGAGTAAAATGATACTCGGAAGCGATCTGCATGGTTGGGTCAAATGAGGCGGTCTGCTCGTTTGCGGTCGCGTGCAGAAGGGCGCAAGTATCGCAGCTGCTGCGTTATCTCCCGGAGCAGCACGTGCCTAAGGGCCGGCGAGTGCTTCGTCTGGCGCGCCGTCTTGTGGCTATCGCCACTGGCAGCCTGCCGAAACCCCACACTCGGAGACTTTTTCCACGGGTTTTTCCGCGCGTTAACAACTCGGGCTCGGATTTCTCGCAGAGCAGCCATGTGTGTCGACACTCGCGGAGGCCCGGCCGATGGCGGCGGCGGCGGCGACGGCGGGGTTCGCGAAGTGCCGTGACGCCCCCGCGCGCCTGATGGCGACAAAATGGCGTCTCAGGGGAGAAGGAAGCGGTCGGAGCCCTGGCGGTCGCTCCGCTCGGTCGGAGTGCGGCCGTTCTGCGATCATGCAGGAAGCGCCCGCCCAAACGATGGGGCTGCGGCCGGAAGTCATTGGACATCTCGCGCGTCGTCGCCGCCGCCGCCGCCGCCGCCGCCGCTGGGGAAGGCACGGCTGCGGAAAGTGGGTGGAGAAGGATGAGCCAACTCAGGAAATTGCAGGGGTAAACCGCGTCGTTGACAGCAGAGAAGGGCGCCACGCGAAGCCTACCCTACCACAGGACGCGCTTAAGCTCTCCCACAGCGATGAATAGGGTGGAATTATTGGCAGTGGGAACAGTGAAGAGAGTCGCTAGGTGAAAACGTATGGATAAATTCGTATCATCGCAGATATCAGAAAAAATAACACTAAACAACCTTGGCGTTAGATACGTGAATTTTGACAATTGCCAAATCGTTCAGATAGAAATATTACGTATGCTCTTGCAATGAATGGAAGTCATCTGTCACTACTTTCGCGATCGTAAAAAAGCAGAAAAAGACATCCTTTTGATTGGTTAGAATGAACATGAAAAGGAGACACACTATTTGTAGTATTAAACATTCCGATCAACATGTAAGGAAACTGTTCTCAACACACTGGGGCTCTTGAACGGTGGTTTCAAGAAAATCATAAGAAGTAGATAGTGAAATTTTAAAAATGAAGCGAAGTTTGTCATTTAAAACAAATTAGGGCATGTGAGGATACATGAGATACACAAATAGACGGCATCGACGAAGATTGTAACAAAGGTGTCTCCAACTACGACAATATGAACGACGAACGTATACAAACAGAGACAGCAGCGGTGGCGACGGGAAGCCAGGCGGTGGCCTTTAACGGCGAGCGCTCTCCGACGGAAGCGGCAGGCGACGGCGACGGTGGCGGTGGCGGTGGCTGCGAGGTGCAGGCGGTGGCGGGGCGCGGGCCCCCCCCCGCTCTGCGGTGGACGCGACAGAAAGTTGATGGGCGGGGCGCGAGCCGCAGGTGGGCGGGGCGGGACGGGGGCCGGGGCGCCCCGGGGGGGCCCACCCCCCCGTCGGGGCGTGGATTGGTCCCGCGCTCAATGCGGCGGGTCAATCACGCAAACGGAGGGCGGAGGCGGGCAGCCGCGGCACGGAGGTGGGCGGCGGCGGTGGCGAGGGCGGCGGCAGAGGCAGCCAGGCGGGGCGCCCCCGAACTCCCCGGCCCGCCCCCGCCGGCCCCCGCTGCTCCCCCCGCGCCGGGCCCCGTGCACAAAGGGCGCGCGTGATAGCCGAAACCGCTCGGACCGGAAAGACAAATGTTGTGATGCAAGCACAGCTAATAAGCCGAGAAAATGGGCGGGGCCGGCCATGCGGCAGCGCCGCCGCGCGCGCGCGCAGCAGGAGGCTCGGCGGGGGGCGCTCGGCCCACCTGCTGTCCCCTCGCCCCGGCGCGCCCACCGAGCCCCCGCGCTCCCCGCGCCCCCAATGCAGACCTTGAAAGGACTGGTGGTTCTGTTAGCGCGGGGGCGCTTAGCGCTAATCCGTCCCGCTCTGGAAATTTAATACCCATATTCCGAAATGCTATACGAGGATTTTTCCCGCATACTTCCCTGGGGTGAGGGGAGGGGGCGAGGCAGATTAGGGGCGCGTCGCGGCCAGCAGGAAACAAAGCCAGTCCGATCGCGCCACCCATCCCTCTGACAGCCGCTCTCCGCTCGCCGTGCCCCTCAGCGGGCAGAGTGCGGGGTCCGCCGCGCGCGCCCGCGCTCATTCGTCGGCCGGCGCCTGCGCCGTAGCCGCCACCGCCACCCGCCACCCCGCCGTCGGAGCGCGAGAGCCCTGCTTAAGAGCCTCGTCACACTACGGCAGCGCTTGCCTTCTAACCCGGTAAAGGCATTCGCGCCGTCTGTGACCTTTATGTTAGTTTCAGATAATCCTAGATTGATACTCCCGACATATGCACTTCCCAACGGCCGTGTGAAAGGGAGAGTTTCGCTCTTCCTCCGGCGTATCGATTTGTCTCGAACAGACGTTTGCGCTGGCAAATTTTGCCAATCTCCAAATTCTCGTGGTAGGGAGATTCGAAACAGTCTGAAAGCATTTGCGTCTGAATTGACTACATTCACTTTTTGGCTCAACCCAGTTATAATTATGGAACCTGTTTAAGTAAGTAGATATCTCTTTTTTCCAAATGTTGTTTTCAGAAGCGTTTTGTTTAAATGTTGTTGGTGAGGTGGGTGAATGAAACATAATCTAAAACGTACAATTTATGGTATTGAAGAACTTTGACGTCAAATGTTTTTAAAAGGAAAATCAATATCCGGTAGAACCAGAGATTCCCACAATTTTTGAGGTAGAAAACAAACAAAAATATTGATCAAGCTCCTATTTTTTAATTAGTAATTCGGAGTACGTATTCTTGCAATTTAAAAAAGTTTGCAATTAATTAAATGTTTCATATCTTATCAGATACATATATATAGTATAGTATAATATATAATATATATATATATATATATATATATATATATATATATAATACTTCAGTGGCTCTTAGAATGTTTAGATTCCAAGTTATAACAATGATGACGTGACTGTGGACCTAAGTCAGTTTATATAAATTCATCTTTGAAGGAACAACGCTTTGCAGCGACGCCACCGGCCAGTCTTTCCAACTACTGCTCCAAAGGCAAATTCCGCGTCGGGCGGCGTTTGTCCCGGCCTGCGAGGTCGCCTGCACCACGATCTGTCACCTCTCCGCCGCGCCAGACTAACCTCAGCGTTTCAGGCCAATTACCCGAACGGAATCCGCGTCCGGGGAAAAAATCTCGACAGAGACAATAGGCCGCCACGGGGCCTGGCAGGCGGCGCGCGGGGCAGGGGCGGCGTGCGGGGCAGAGGACCGGGGCGGCGGGTTGATGGCGGTGGCGCGCGAAGCAGACTGTCCGCCGCGTCCGCCCCACGTGCAGACCGGCGGGGCCGCTCCAGCGCCGCCGTCGGGAGCTGAGCGAGGACGCGGGGACCGAGGCGGCGGTCGCGGAGGGGTTGCGTGCTTCGCGTGTCTGCATGAGCGTTGCCGCGCCAGCTCATTCCACTAATGGCTAGCTCCCTCTCACGCATTTTCCCAGTTCCCAAATTGCTTTAAGCTGCCTGCTCTGCCTTCACGTAAGGTGCTGGTTGTGGCGAGGCGGCGGCGCAGAGGCTGGGCGCCGCGGACGATCAGGTGCCGCGAGTCCGGAGGGTCATAAGCACGCTGCGAACGCGACGCCGCGCTCCGCGGCCGCGCCGCAACTCGCCGAGCTCCGGCGCGCAGCGCTCGGAGGTGGCCGGCCTCTTCGGCCTTCGGCGCGTGAGCGCTCCACGGCTAATGCCGCGCTCGATTGCAGGCGGCGGCGCGATCGTCAGCGCTCAGGCCAGGTGCACTCACGGCGCCCGCGCGGGGGCTGCTTGTCCTTCGACGCGGTCTAAGCGCCGGCCAAG